TGTGTGTGTGTGTGTGTGTGTGTGTGTGTGTGTGTGTGTGTGTGTGTTTTTTTTTATCAAACCTCTTGATTTTTTCCTCCAATTTTTATTTTTTTTTCCATGAACTTGTCAGTTTTACATGTTTGTAGTTAATCATAACCATCTACATATTTCAATGTTACATGGGAATGTAGCAATAGAAACAAGGTTTTGGCAAATTGGAGGCACTAAACTTGCTTTTATTTGGATCCATACTATACTGTTATAGTTGTACTGTTATGAGTGCAATTAATTGATAGGAAAAAAAATTGCACTGATCCTGGTCATTTTGTCTAGTTTTCTGTATCTTGTGTAGTTCTTTAATGTTCAAGTACTTGTAGACATACAAAGTCCTTTTTATTTCCAAATACTGTACAAGCAACTCATGGTGGTATTTTGCCTTTATTTAACATGTAGTATACATTTACAAGGGATGTCATCAAAATAACTTAAAACGGACGTTTTTTATTTGCTAGACTGACAGACCTCTGCCTTAAATTAAATTTTTATTTATTTATCTATCATGCATTTAAAAAGCTATAATTGAGTATTTGACACCGTTTTTCTTTTGCAACCTAAAGCTGGTATAAATGTTAAGACAATTTTATTTCCTCTAAAGTGTACAAAAATAATATGACTAAGTCAAATTTTAATTTGCAAGACATTTGATTAATTAAAATATAAAGGGATTTGTGTAGGCATCAGACACAGCAAGTTGAACTTCCACTTTTCAACTGCCAAATTAAATGTTGGTTTAATTAAAACGAGTGCTTATAATACAGCAGGCACATATTTAATTTTGTAATAAAAAAAAGGGGGGAAAGAAATTACAATATGATTTTTTTAATCTTTATAAGAAATACATGAAATAACCAGCTTTAACAACTCTGTGTTTTATTAGATAACCAACTAATGAAGCTCGAACATGTCTTGGGTTGTCATGTGGTGTCAACCTGTTAAACTTTCACCTACTTTTGTGCAGTTCTGGTGCAGTGACCCAGTTAATTAGGAGCTTTAGGGGACTTGTGTCTATTTGCTTAAAACCAGATTACGTTACCTTGAAAATGCTCAAATTCTTCAATTAGGTGACTGCATTCCTTAATAATTATCTCTTCGCTCATCTTTTTGCCCATTCCAAAGTCTTTCAGTACTTTCAAACCAAACCGTCTCATTTCTTTCCAATTATCTCCATTGGAAAAGATGATACCTAAAAAACAGATAATGCATCAAATTTTTAACAAAGACCGACAATTATTGACAACTCAAGAAACTCAAGTGTTTACCATGGCTCTTGGTCAAATCATAAAATGCTGGAGTGATTTCTCTGTTTCCAAACTCCACAGCATGGTTCATCAGAGCCTGTTTGACTGTCTTATAACCTGCAAGAACCACCACCTTCTTTGGTCCCAAGTAGACTTGGAAAACTGGTCCATATTTTTTGGAAAGCTGGAGACATAATGCAGCTAAAGGATGAGACTCGTATACCAATATAGTTTACAGAAACAAACAATCTGCACTTTAATATACACAAAAACACATTTTTAGAAAGATAAACAAGTGACTCACATCAAAAAGACTCTTGTCAAGCCACTTTAGATCCACCTGAAACAGGTTTCCAAAAAGAGGGACAGGTCTGGGTCCTGGAGGTTCCAGTCTTTTTGAGCTGAAGTCAGAGTAAAGAAAGTGCAGGACCAGCAGAACAATGATTACCCCAAACAGCCAAAATGAAATGGGGGATTGTAGACCTTCAAACATGATCAGATAGTTTCTCAGGAAGAAGTCTAAGAGACCTCCTCCTGTTGAATTAGGTTAAAAATTCTTTAAAAAGTTGAAGAAAACCTGCAACACAATCACACCCAAAGCCTCTGCTTTAATGACGTTCCTTCAAAGACCTGCAGGGAATTTTAGGGAAGAGCAAGAAGTTTGTCCAAGGCAGGACTCCAGCAGCTGCATTCACTTTTAACTAATTGCAACATGGCTAATTTGCATACAAACACACACATGCGTTACTAATTATTTTTCTCAACAGTTTTAACTAAGTATTCATGTCATTCTTAACTTTGAGAAGGGTAAGATAATAGATCCACTGTGCACATTTCTCACATGAATAAAATCACTTGTTTAGGCAGTTACCTTTTTCAATCAGCCTTTGCTTCACAGAACACAAGTGAGTCTGAATGGTTTCTTTACTTAAACTTAGAAATAAATTCTGTTTTAATGGACCAAATAACTTTAGTGTATCTGAACAATGAGAGAAAAGGCCAAGATACAAATGATCAGTTATCAAAAAGAACACTTTTTTTTCTAAATCAGGATAAACACTTAATTGAAAACAACAAAGTCCATGCTCAATAATCCAGGTATACAATCCAACATTTTTCAGTCAAGTCATCTGGACAGTTTCTTTGTTTTGTGCCGAAACGTTTCGCCTTCGATCCGGAAGGCTTCATCAGTCAAGGAAACACACAACAAAACTGATTCTTCCCCCCAACAGCTTACTCCAAAGTGGAACAAACCAGTTATGTTGGTGCTAAATAGTCACTTTGCCACGCCCCTTCCTCCATTGCCAGCCCTCTTCCTTGTTGACAGTCGTGTCAAACTGGTTGAAAACAACAAAGTCCATGCTCAATGGACTTTGTTGTTCCTCCGGCAATGGAGGAAGGGGCGTGGCAAAGAGACCATCTTAGCACCAACATAACAGGTTTGTTCCACTTTGGAGTAAGCTGTTGGGGGAAGAATCAGTTTTGTGTTGTGTGTTTCCTTGACTGATGAAGCCTTCTGGATCGAAGGCGAAACGTTTCAGCACAAAAAAAGAAACTGTCCAGATGACCTGACTGAAAAATGTTGGATAAACACTTAATCGTATTCCCATTAGACTGTACTGTAAACTACAGTATCTACAGTCCTATACTGGAAATGCTAGCAGTAACCAGCACTACCTGTGCAGTGTTAAGCAAGGTTTTTTCTAGTCCTTTTATTTCTAAATTTTGTCAGCTGTGGCACCTTCAAATGCTAAAGGACCTCACATACATTAGTGTGTTGTTGAAAAGGTATGAAGAAAAAACCAACATTACTAGACTTGATCCAGGCTAGGTGGACAAAGCTAAAATTTGTTAAGTTGGACTCTCTCCTAGCTGTCATTTACTTGTGTATACTGTAGTGGATTATCTAATTCACAAGAAACGCGCATGCACTGTGCAAGAATTGTGTGCATTCAAGTCTTAACCAAAGCAGTAGAGGTTAATGACTAATAACATTCTCATCACAGGCAGGGTAAGTAAATGGTTTGTTCTTTGTACACAAATTTAACTGAAATATGCACCTTTGGGGGCAGCACGGTGGCGCAACTGGTAGAGCTGCTGCCTCTCAGCGAGTAGGACCCTGGTTCAAACCCCGGTCCAGGGGCCTTTCTGGGTGGAGTTTGCATGTTCTCTCCGTGCATGCGTGGGTTTTCTCCGGGTGCTCCGGTTTCCTCCCACAGACCAAAAACATGCATGTTAGTCTGATTGGTAACTCTAAATTGTCCCTAGGTGTGAGAGAGAGAGTGAATGGTTGTTTGTCTCGTTTGTCTCTGTGTGGCCCTGTGATGGACTTGCGACCCGTCCAGGGTGTACCCCGCCCCTCACACAGTGATTGCTGGACATGGGCACCAGTGACCCCCGTGACCCAAAATGGAATAAACAGGTAAAGATAATGGATGGATGGATGGATGCACCTTTGGATGTAATAACTTGGCTTTAGTTCTTATTAAATCCACCAATTTCACTCAAAGTTCTCATTTCTCTTTAAGATCTTCATGAAAACTCAATTCCAGCTTAGCTCGACCCTAGTTTAAAAAAAATAAAGTGTTGTTTGTAACTATATCAGTAGAAAATTGACAGGATTGCAATTTATTATACTTAAAAATCCTTTACTGCTGTTAGGAGTAAATTCTTGCCATTTTAGACGGCTTGTCTGTCCTGTTGATTTTATTGGCGAGCCACACTCATCAGTGCCGAGTTGCAAAGTTTGCCTCCATGAAAACGTCACCGATTTATCTTTATTTGTACACCCTTTAACTCAACAGACTATTATTAAGCCATCACATGATTTCACTGAAGTGGAAAGTTGCTTTTTAGTTAATTTGTCCTACTGGGATGGAGACGTGTCCAGATGTGGGAAGTGTGATATTAATTGGGAACCATGTATTGTCTCAAGACTTCACAGACCAAAGAAAATTCCAAACAGAATTCTGGTTTTAAGATTTTTCTAAAGTTTGAGACAAAAAATTCTGCTCTCATGCATCATTAAGGGGCCCAACAACATGGTAGTTTAATGCTCTGAGATAGAGACAAGTTGTAAAACTGAAATCAAAATGGAGAATATGGGTCACTGTTCTATTGTAATTTGAATTTAAATAATAGAATTTAAATTTGAAATTATGGTCAACAATTTTTATAAAAAATTTTTTTTACAATTTACTAGTGTATTGGAATAACATTTTCAGTTTGATAAAGCCAACAATATTTTAATTTGAAGCCACCCACCAGACAGTTGTTCAAATTCCTAAAGTAAATCTTTGCCAGTTTCAAAATGGTGGTAACTTGTCAAAATGTATAAAAGTAGGTTTTGATGCAATATATCTTAAACTAAACACAAGAACGACTGCCTCCTTAAATGATGCTGATGAAGTAATTCATCAATAAAACAGACTAAGTTTCTTGTTTTTTATTACAACTAATTCACTTTTCAGGTAAAAAAACAAACAAACATAAAAATAAAAAAAAGAAAATCCATTCAAAGTTCATTGAAAACAAATTACAAACATTAAAAAACTGAAAAATCTACTAAATGTGCTGGAATCAAGTCAATATGATTACTGAAGCAAATCCACAAAACATGGTGTGAGAACACCAAACGATTGCTGCATGGGAACATTCAAATCATTCCCAGTGAATTTTGACAGTCCACCTTTAAAATTTCCCATAATGCCACAAAACAGAAAATGAAGTTGTTGCTGCTTTCTTGTTCACTTGCGTCGGATGGCGCACAGCTTCTGAGGTCGAGGACAGAGGCTAAAGCCGACAACTGGTGTTAAATCCACGTCATCTTCTGAAGCTCCAGGTGAAGCAGTGAAACGAAAATGCTGAAGAAGAGAAGTGAAGAAGAGGAAGAGCTCCATTCTAGCAAGACTCTCTCCAAGGCAGGCTCTGCGACCTGTAAGAAAATGTAGGTGTCGAATATGATCCTCTACATGAAATTTGCTGAAGTTATTGAGCAGATCCCTTTTGCATAAAGACAAAAGTCCTTGTAGCAATCAGCCTTTGGTTTGAGTACACCCTTTTGGCAATTCTTTGCATTACTTGCTAGTATTTTCAGTGTAAATAATAATAATAGTAATATAATACTATAGGAAAAAACAAAACAAATTTGGACTATGGTAAACAAATTTAAATGTTAAAACATTAAAATTGTGTCTCTTATAATACAAAGTTTAGCAAAATCACTGCTTTCATCCGTTCTCTTTTCAGGAGTCTCCACAACAAGTCCTCCCCCATCTCACTCTGTTCTTTGTGACTTCTGTCCTCACTCCACCTCCATATCATCCATACCTTTTTTGATCTTTGCTGCCACCCACCCATCCATCCATCCATTATCTTTTACCCGCTTCTTCATTTTTAGGTTGCGGGGGTCACTGGTGCCCATGTCCAGCCATATCACTGTACAAGAGACGGGGTACACCCTGGACAGGTCTCCAGTCCATCACAAGGTCACATTGAGGCAAACAAGACAAACAACCATTCACTCTCTCACTCACACCTAGGGACCATTTAGAGCCATCAATTAGCCCAACATGCATGTTTTTAGTCTACAAATCACTCCTCGAACTTTTCTTCATCCACTCCATCCTCCCTGGACTCTCTTCCTCACCTCTTTATCACACGTCTGTTTCCATGGACAGTCAACCCTAAGTATGTGATGTTTTGCAATTTTGTAACTTCTGCTCCTTGTAGCCTCACTTTTCCTCCTGCCTCCCTCTCATTCACACGCACATGCACTCTGTTTAACTGTGTTTAATTTTCATTACTATTCGTTTAAGTGCATACCTCCACCTCTTCAAGTTCTCTTCCACCTGGCCTGTTTTCATCACTGATCATGTCCTCTGCACGCATCATAGTTCACGGGGGTTCCTACCTGACCTCATCTGTTAGTCGGTCCATTACCAGAGCAAAAATGAAGGGGCTCTGAGCTGATCCTCACTTCCATCTCTCGTAGACATTTCCATACCCATAATACGTTCTCATATAGCATCTGCATTGGACTCCAAACAGTATTATACAGCAATATTCAATGATTTATCAAAAGTTATTGACTCGGTTGATCATTCCATCTTGAAGCAACTAGACCATACTGGAATTTCAGGACAGCCACTAACTTGGTACCATAATTATCTTTCAAATAGGTGTTAGCAAGTGAAGGTTGACTCTCATATTTCACAATTTATTCCCGTTATGTCAAGTGTACCCCAAGGTTCCATTCTTGGTCCCAATCTTTGTTTCCCGTATTTATAAATGATATATCACATTCTGTTAGTGAGGCCTCCATTCAGTTATATGCCGATGACACTATATGATTTTGGTTCTACTCCAGATGAGGTAGTGAAGTCCTTTGCATGTGGTTTTCTTGAAATAAAGCAGGCCTTAGACTTATTTTTTTTTTCCTTAAATGCCAAGAAAACCAAAATTATGTTGTTTGGTCATAGAGGAGGAACAGTACCCACCATGGTGGATTTCACAACTGTAAACGATGATATAGAAGTGGTAACTTTTTATGAATATTGGAAAATTTGGATTGATGGTGTTCTTTTCACATCATGTTAATGTTTTGCAATCTAAGGTTAAAGCGAGATTTGGTAATATGTATAGAAATCTATCTTGGGTTACACTAGCTGCAAAATGCACCACTGTCAAAAAAAAAAAATTCTACTTCTGTTGGATTATGGTAATTTACAGACATGCTTATAAGGGTGTCTGAAATGTAAGCCGGACACAAATTTTCACTCTGCTATTCACTTTGTTACAATGCTCTTTGCAGAACACATCGTTGTCACCTCTACTCTTTTATTAAATGGCTTCTCTACACGCACGTCGTGATTTTCATTGTTTTACCCTCATTTAGAAGGCGTTGTTGGATTATTCATCTCCATATTTAACTCAGCTACTGCAACTAGAACCGATTCAAAGTATAATACCCTATCCTCTCGGTATTGGTGGTTAATAACTCCAAAGATCAAGTCTCACTTTGGCTCTGTGGCTTTTGCCTCTGCTGCTCCATCTGACTGGAATCTACTTCAAAACACTTTGGGTATGACCTCACTTGTCTCAGTTTATATTTTTAAAAGTTGATTAATATGCTTTTGTAAATATACTTGTAAATGATTTCTTTCTTAGTATGTCATCTTTTGACTTTGACGATGAACTGTTGTTAATGTAATTTGTGTTTTTCTTGTTTGTTATTGTCTACTGTATTTAATTATATTGCTTCACTATATCTTCACTGGGATGTCATCAGGTCCAGCTGCCTTTCCCTTCTTCATCTTCAAACCTTTCTGAACATCCATCCTCACTAAACTTTCCGACTTCTTGTTCCACAGTTTCTATGACCTCTACTCTTCTTCATTCTCTTCATTTGCTGCTTGAAATACTTCTTCCTTCATCCCATCACACATTTCTCTAGTTAGAGCATTACCATATTGACATACCTGCTGAAAAGGGCATGAAGGCACCTCTCCTGATGAATCTGCCCTCCTTATCCAAGAAATGAGAAGGGTTGAAACTGTGAGGGCTCTCCCATTCACTCTCATCATACAAGACAGAAGTGAGAAGAGGAAAAACTGTAGATCCCTGTTGATTGAAAAAAAAAAAGTAGATGCAGAGCAAGTTTCTATCTTCAGATATGGCTAAGGATAGTGAAAGAAGTAACTGATGTGAGCTGCAGACCTCCTTAATAAAGTAGCCTTGTAAGGTGACATCTTGGCTTGTTACATGAGGAACAGCAAGGGGGAAGATGTTTGCAAACCTCTGTGTCTCGTGGACCACTGCATCAGTGAACGGCAAGTTCTTTCTGTCCTCTATTCGAACTTGCCGGCTTCCAACCACCCTGCTCAGCTCCTCCTGAACATGATCTAGTTAGACATCAAAATTAAATCCAGCAGGTGTACTGGTGCATTCAACAAACATTAAACAGGTTTGGAACAATTTTTGCACCTTGGATATGTGGAAACTTAGCCATGTAAAGGAGACCCCACTTCACTGTGGTTGCTGTGGTATCAGTTCCAGCTTCAAACAAGTTCATCACAGTGTACAGCAGGTTATCATCATGGTAGTGCAGGTTTGTTATTCCAGAATCCTAATAAAATCCAAACAAAAGAGACAAAAATGTCAATCAATTTTTACAACAGGTGAGTGGACCAGAGTTTGAAAACTCACCTCCAGATGTTTCTTATGGATCAGAAATGCATCAACGAAGCATCTGCACGCGTCAGGATTCAGAGTTTCCTTCAGACCGGCTATTATCTTCCTTGTGTTCATCTTACCATCTTCTATAATCTTCATTAAATCCCTCCAGTTTTTTAAGAAAGGGCCAAGCCAAGGAAAAATGTTGTAAATCTAGAAAAAGCTCACATCTGGTAACAATTTACACTATCCTTCAGAAAGCTTCAACATAACTTTAAACCTGAAAAACTAATATTTGTGAAATAATGAATGAACTGCAAACAACTATTTTTCACATGCAACAACAAAGGAGATTTTATAGCTGTAATTATTTTTGTTCATACCCAAATTGAAGCTGTTCCTGCCAGATGGACAATCTTGTTGTCTCTCTCCACCATAGCTTGGAAAACTGGATCTTTGTAATCAAATCTCTTTCCAAACATCAGAGCTGATATAACATTTGAAGCAGCATAATTCAGAAGCTTGGTGTTACTAAACGCATTATCTGTAAAAAAAAAAAAAAAAAAAAAAGCAACTATAAGCAATGGTTAAACATAAGAGAACTGCATTTGTGTCATCTGTTTGAATATGAAAAATAACAAACTTAATCTAAAAAGGTACTTAAATTCATTACACTGTAAACTAAATCGTGTTTTATTATTACATGAATAACACTCATATTCTTCTAAAGAATGCATCACCCACCTCATTGTATGCAGATATTAAAACAAAGACCATGCTCAATCAGTTAGCCCTTGGAGTATGTGACAAAGATGACTCTCAGCTACTATCAGAACCAACTTAAGCTCAATTTCTGTAAAAATTAAAATAATAATATTTATTTTTCTTTTGGCTGCTCCCTTCTTCAGGGGTCACTACAACGAACTAAGTCGTACAAAGACTTGACAATTATTTTTATGCAGGATGCAACCGCAGACCACCGAGCTACAACAGCCCCCTCTGTGTGGAGCAGAGAGCTGCCATCTGGGGCGCCCAGGGGAGCAGGTGTTGGGGGTTAAGGGCCTTTCTCAAGGCCCAAAGTGGGGCAAATGAGGGTGGAGGCAGGTGTGGGTGTTTCACCTTTCCCACCCACATTTTGATGTTGTCGATATGGGGAGTTGAATCGGCGACCTTCCAATCACAGGCCCACATTCTCTAACCTCTACGTCATCACTCCCTATAACAACAACAACAAGTAAACAAATAAAAACTATTGAAATATAGCCATTTTGGTTTTATAGGGTTGATTAGTGGTGACCGCGCTTTCCAAATTGGGACAATTACACCCAATGATTACTTTGTGAGAGTTTCATAAAAATCCATCCAGTGGGATATTTTGCTAACATACATATTTCTGAACATACATGCGCAAATGCAATTACATTATGACCTGCTGCCATGAAGGACAGATAATAAGATAAGTTCTATTAAAATCAGTGTTTTAATAACATTGAGTTACTGCAGCTCACTGTCTTGGTTTGTTTCATGGACTGCAGTCCAGTGGTTACACATTGACCCATGTCTGTGCAACATGTTGCAGTTGTCCTATCTACCGTAGATACCATATCGTCTTGTGTGTAAGAACACATTACCTTGAAATTGCTCAAATTCTTCAATTAGATAACAACATTCCTTAATAATTATCTCTTCACTCATCTTCTTGCCCATTCCAAAATCTCTCAGTGTTGTCAGAACAAAACGTCTCGTTTCTTTCCAAGCGTCTCCATTGGAAAACGCAACACCTGGAAATAAAATACCTTTAAAACATTTAAATATACATAGGAATTCTTATAAACTTCCAAAAGTGAATTCCTATACCATTTCTCTTGTGTAAATCATGAAATATTGGAGCAATTTCTCTGGTTCCAAATTCACCAGCTTTGTTCACCAGAGCCTGTTTGACGGTTCTGTAACCAGCAAGAACCACCACCTTCTTTGGTCCAAAGTAGACTTGGAAAACTGGTCCATATTGTTTGGACACCTAAAAACATAGAGTAGTGAAATGGGGAAGCTCATATACAAATACAGATTAGAAACGAACAACAACAAAGAATAAAAAGATTGCTCACTTCAAAAAGACTTTTGTCAAGCCACTTCAGGTCCACCTGAAACAGGTTACCAAACAGAGGTAAACGTCTGGGTCCTGGAGGTTCACGTCTTTTTTGGATGAAAATGTTGGACTGAAGAAGGTGGAGGACGAGCAGAGCAACAATTACTCCCAGCAGGAAAACTGAAGTGGGAGATTGTAGATCTTCAAACATGATCTGATAGTTTTTGGATAAGCTTTGTTCGTGAGAAATCAATTTCAAAGTCCAGTTCTCCCCGTGCTTCAGATGGAAATCCTTGATGAAATCTGTCAGACAATCACATCAAAAGTCTTTCCTTCGTTGATATTTCTGCAAAGTCTTTGAAAATTCCAAAAGAACAAAATACAAGTAGATTTTTTTTTCTTCTGCTAACTTGGCAGCACATAAAACCAGCAAACCAAACTTTGCAGCTCAGCATGAAAATAAAAGATCTGTACATGCTTCACAGAAAATAACCAGTTTGCCTGACCAGTGCAGTTGAACATAAAAAAATAATAAAAATACGTCCATTGGAAAGAACTAAAAGTTTTGAGCATATTTTTTCCCCCTTCTGGCTCTTTGCATATTAAAGATAAATTCAGAAGAGATATGGACAAAAGGCAGAGTTTATTTTAATTTTTTTAATTTTAAATTATCTCTGCACAACTTAATTATTCTTCACCATTAAATTATGTCCCCAAAAACATCACTCCTTGTGATTTAATATAAATTATAATAAAATCTGAAAAGTGGAGTAGTGTGTAGCATAAGGATATAAGAGATTTTGTCTACATTTCTTCTGCAAACAGAAGGACATCACCACAATTTTATCAAATTTTACCAAATTTATGATATTAGGTTTTAAACCATGAAAAACAATCAAAATCCCAGTCAAAGGTTTAGCAGCTGCATTCAATTTAAATGAATTACCACATGATAAATAATAATCTTAATGCAGTAAATGAAGCGCACATTATCTAAAACATTTACAGCTGTTGTAAACATGTTTAAATGTCAATTCAAAATTAAATAAATGTTAAATAAAACATAAAATTTCCTCCCATAATAAGCACACTAAAACTCACCAATATTAACTCGTTGGATTAGTTTTCCTTCGAAGTTAAAATGACTGAGACCGCTCATCTGCTCACCAGTGTTGTGACGAAAACGGTGCCCTCAGCCTATCGTGCCCCGCATGCGCAGTTGGATATGTAGCGTAAAACTCCGCCTACTCAAAATCGCCGGTGTAAAAATAAAGTACTTTAGCGCTTAAGATAAATGAATTAAAATAAACATTCGTACATTTATGATTGTGGTGAGGTGCTCGTGACATTGATGGGAGAGAGGACGTGCTTTTTTTCCCCTCTGTTGACAGTCTTTAATAAATTTAACATAATCAACGTGCACGCGCGTGCTGTCTTTGCATTGTTCGTGCAGCTTCTCTATGCTTGTATTCATTTTGTCCATCATAAGGAGTCCCTACAACATGGTGGTGTTTAATGTCCAGATGGGAAAATAATTCGAGGGTTCTTGGGGTCAGGACCCAAACACCATGTGGTAATAATCTACAGATATAATTTATATATTTAATAATGATTGCTTATGGCATATTTTCTCCATAACAGTTACAAAAATAGAAGTACTCAAAATAAAATTAATTACTGTGTTGTCGTCATCATGCCTATAGGGTTATTAGAAAACCTTATACTTAAATGACTATATTGGGTCATAAGCCTCTGAGTCCTTATGTTGATTTGAAGTCAAAAGTTTTGGTAAAGCTGTTCAATATAGTGCAAAAAAAACAAGGTTGTTGTTTTATATGAGATTAAAGACAGCCTGTCTGTTCAGGTCTCTCTTGTAAATGATTCCCCGAGGCTTAATGAGACTAACCTGTATAAATAAAGATTGAAAAAATTATTTAAACAAGCCTCTTGGACAAGACAAAATGTTTTATCATGCAAGCAGTTTAATTCACCATATATATATGACTTTATTGATCAAAAAGAGAAAATGGATTACATTGCTCAAATTCAATAGTGTGCTCTAGTTTGGGAAAGTATGTTGTCCAATAAAGTAACCTACCTCAAGGTGCTAACATAAATTTAAAGTCTCAGAGCATTATCGTGAAACTATTGTTTGCACGTAAAAAAATAAAAAATAATAATAATTAGCAAACAAGACAGCAGATGAAGACTTTGCCTTCTTCTTCACTTGCATTGGATGACACACAGCTTCTGAGGTCGAGGACATCAGATGTTATATCCAGCTCATCTTCGTAGACTCTGTGGGTTTGAAACGAAAGCGCTGAAGAAGAGAAGTGAAGAAGAGGAAAACTTCTATTTGGGCCAGACTCTCTCCAGGCTTTGTAACTTACAGGAAGATGTGTTGTGTTAAACAGAATCCTCTTTATGGGAGTTTGCTAACAAACATCTTAAGTATGAATATAGAAAATCCTTGAATGACTTTTGTTTTATGTCATCTCTCTCTTTGCGCTTTAAGGAAAAGGCAATAACACTCAATAAAGACATCAGAAATCAATTTGCTTTATTAATTTTATTCCTTTTTTTACCTTTCTTTTATATATATATACCGGTACCTCTGCCGAGCTAGATCGAGTTGAGATTTTTAAAAATGTATTTTTCAAGCAAAACCTGGCCAAGAGTTGATGTGCCAGAAATGTGACACTTGTCGCATGAAGGAGGCTGATGAGTACGATGTTTGCATTACATGGACAACAGCATCAGTGTATGGTAAGTTCAACAATGTTCAGTCAGGTCATCTGGACGGTTTCTTTTTTTGTTGTTGAGACCTTTCATCCTTCATCCAAAGGACTTCATCAGTCTGAGGAGTGACAAGAAACTCTGTCCCACAAGCAACACACTCACATAGTGGTCCAACCAGTTTGCTGGCGATAAGATGGTTTTGAACCACTTTGGCTATGGCTGCCTCAGAGGAGTTGACGGGGGAGAGGGCAGCCCCCAGAAACCATCTGATGGATGGATTATGAATTGAAGCGTTTCTCACTTAAGGTAACTGGTCCATATGACATGATTTAATCATTATTGTTGTTATCTACCTGGATGACTGAGCTTACAAACCTTTTTCTGAAGCACTTTGGCCATGGTTGTCGTCAGGTTGTTTCTGTGAGTAGCAAATTGGCCACCTGACCTAAAACATTTTATTGTTGTACAAGACGATTGATTGTTTTGGATGGGTGTGCTCTGTTTGGATGTGTTTAAAGCCTGAGATTCCGACAGGAGGATGGCTTGAAACACAACAGTGAAGGCTATGGGACAGATATGGTTGGCAGGCCGGAGACTGAGGAAGTCCTCTGGATGGGGGACAAAACGTTTCTCACTTTAAAAAAAAAGATCCAGATGAAATGATTTAATCTTTTTTGTTATCTACCTGGATGATTGAGCTTACAAACCTTTTTATTAAAAATACATTTTTTTCTTTTGTTGGATAATTTATTAAAATAATATTATTGATTTTTTACATCAGTGCTAAAATGTTTATCAGAAATGTACGACACAGCTAGTTTTGCTAACTCAATGTTTTATAAAACAACATTGAGTCAATGATGTCTTGGGTTGTCTGTCATGCAAATTGGTTAAACTTTCACCTACTTCTGTGCTGTTATGTTGCAGTGACCCAGGAGCCTAAGGGCGCATGAGAACAGAGTATGTTAACTTCAAATTGCTCAAATGCTTCAAAAAGGAGGCTGCATTCTTTAATAATTATCTCTTTACTCATATTTTTGCCCATTTTTAAACCTGTCAACATTGTCAGACCAAAACATCTCATTTGTTTCACAGAGTCTCTACTGGAAAATGTGATACTTCAAAACAACAGATAGTACATAATGTTTATTTAACCAGACCAAAAATTTATAATACCAGTAATTGGAGCACTGGAGTAATTACTCTGTTTCTAAACTCAACAGCATTCATTCAACCTTTATTTATTCAGCTTCGTTCCCACTTGCCTCGAACATACATATATAATGCAGCTACAGGGTGTATACCAATATAGTTTACAGAAACAATCTGCACCCTATAATGTCTCTTTAACAAGAAGTGACTCACATCAAAGAGACTTTTGTCAAGCCACCTTAGATCCACCTAAAACAAGTTGCCAAACAGAGGGTTGAGTCTGAGTCCTGGAAGTTCCCGTCTTTTGCTGAACCTGAAGTCAGAGTAAAAAATGTGGAGGACCAGCAGAACAATGATGACCCCAACTGATCAAACAGAAATGGGAAAGAAGAAGTCTTCTCTTAGGGAGAAACACATTCTGAGTCCAACACTTCTCACGTGGATTCAGTTCAAAAGCTTTGATGAAAGACAAAGAAATCTGTCAGACCATCACCACCATGTCCATTTGGTTTGATCACATTTTGGCAAAAATTTGCAAAGAAAAAATTCCATAAGAAAGAGCAGTAATATGTGTTCACTTTGGTTTCTCTTTTATAAAAAATGGGGCGGCTGTGGAGCAGTTGTAGGGTAACTGAGTTGGTACCAGAATGTTGCAGGTTTGAATCTCACATGTGATGGGTTAAAATCTTGTTAATCTTCTCAACAACTGTGCAGACATAATCTTGCTGTACTTCAGTGCAATGATAATAAAGCTTATTCTGATTCTGAAAAGCAGAGGACATACAGTATTTCATCATTGTCTTATAAATCCAGATGTTCAGTAAGTGGTCTGGTATATTAGGACCCAGTCTCACACTTTACCTATTGTGGATATAAAAAAACGGGCACCTGCAAAATCATTTGTACATCTTGTACATATTGTAGTTTTACACAGAGGAAAAAGATAAATGGTAACACCTGGTGAAATTTTACGAATTCAAATATTGTTCAGTGCTAAGTGTTTTTCAACTCACAACACAATGTCCTCTGATTGGGTTTCCACGTTTTTTAGTTAGTCATTTACAGATGATCCCCAACATTAGAAGCATCACTTTGAAACTTTTGTAATTATTGTACTAAACCAAACTAACAACCTTTTCTACCTTGTTAAAGATAAAATTAAAAGAAAAAAAAAAAAAACAAAGTTTATAGCCAACATTTCAATTAAACATTAACCTCTTTAACCACCACATATGCCGGCATTATAATGGAGTAGACCTGCTGAGAGACCTGAAATAGTGAAAAACATTCTGAGATGTTTAAAATTATTCCCCTGGAGACAGTTAAAATCACATGCCT